ATTAAATATCAATAATTAATTCTATCTAAATAATTAATCTAAACACCACGTAAATAATAGTAGATTTGGAGACTCAAATAAATGAAATCTTTTATCCAAGTTATAAAACTGAGAAGCCAATGCCTCTTCACATGAATTACCCTCTCTATAAACATGTTTTTCCCTTTTTTTTTTTTTTTTTGGAACAAGTACAATTTGAGGTGGAGGGGGGCATGGGAATAAAACCCAGCCACGGGCTACAGTTTGCACAACTACACCAGTTTTGAGGCCTAGATGCTTCTCTCTAAGCATATGTTAAAGCTCAAATATTCAATCCCAGTTGATGTACTTCTCTGTCCCCGTACATTCATTTCTTGCCCTACTAGTTGAGAGTATATTTTATTAAGCTTAGACATCCAATCAAGACACGATGCACCTGCACTATATATGACGGTCGATGCTCGATACTGTCGTGGCTTGAACTAGGAAACTGAACCCACACCTGGATCCATAAGTTAACCAGATTTTTAGGTGGTGAGTACTCATGGATTATGTGCTACATGTGCCAATTAGGCAAATTTTTAGGCACATGTGTATTATATACGTGTACTACAACTACACAAGCTAATTAGCCCAAACACAGCGCACATGCAGACTAAATTAGGAGGTGAGGGCACATATATCATGTACAATTGTCCATCTCCCTTTTACTCATGGACTATGTGCTACATGTGCCAATTAGCCATATTTTTAGGCACGTGTATTATATATGTGTATTACAAGTACACAAGCTAATGAGACCAAACATAGCGCACATGCAGACTAAATTAGGAGGTGAGCGCACATGTATCATGTACAATTGTCCATCTCCCTTTTCTCTCCCCCTGGTAGTGTTAATTAGCCAGATTTTTAGGTACATGTATTATATTTGTGCTACAAGAACATGTGCTGATTAAATTAGCCCAACGTAGCACACATGTGCTGATTGGTAGGGATGACAAGAACATGTGCTAATTAACTTAGCCCAACGTAGCAGACATGTGCTGATTGGTTGGTATGACAACCGTAAGGACTCCTTCATCCTGCGGGAATTTGACTCGGGCAAAAATTTAATGCCCATTTTCCCTGTCATCACATTTATGGAGAATTCCCATCAAAATAAACTAAATGTTTTTACTTTAAATTTAAATTAATAAAGCTTGAATTTAAATTGATCGGTAGGTTTTTTTGTGAATTAGACATTTATTAGTTAAAAGAATAAATAATTAAATTAAAATATGATATAAAATTAATTTTATGAAATCAATGCATTACAAATTTAATAAAAAATAATAGAAATAGAGAAATAGCATATTAAATTAAAGATTAATATAAAATTAAAATTTAGCTATATTTCAACTGGTTTACTTTTAATTTCTTCTCATACATAAAAATGCCATATGAAATTATATGCTTCTAGCTTTAATACAAATTTAATAGAAAAAGAAATAAAAATAGAAAAATAGCATATAAAAAATTAATAAAATTAAAACTTGACTAGATTTTAATTGATTAACTTTAGATTTCTTCTCACATAAAAATATCATGCAAAATCTAGCTTTTATTTTTACTTTAAAAAAAAAACTAAATCCAATACTTCATTAGCATTCAGTAAGTTTATTTTAAAATATCTAAAATATTTTAAAATTATTTTAAAAATTAAAAATACTCATTTCAAGAAAATAAGCAGATTAATCCAAACTTTACAGTAAAAATAGAGATTTTACTGAGCACATCTAACTATTTAAATAAAATTAATATTGACAATATAATCAACAAAATAACATTAATTCCATTTGAGTAATTGAATTTATTAATATATTTTATAAAAAAATTTATAGCTTCGTTTTTCTAACGCTTCCATTCCTGCTTCGCGAAAGAGAATGTTCTAAATTTATCAAAAAAAAGAAAGAGAATGTTCTAAAACTCTCCATCCCACAATAGCAGTCCATTGGAGCCCACAGGACGTAGCGGAAATTACCTGCCCTCCGAATTAGCCCAGGCATACCGCACATGCAGACCAAATTAGGCGGTGAGCCAGCATGTATTTCGAAAGACTGTTGCCATTGTGGCTAATTTCCCATTCCGCACCACGCATCCTTTCCGCTTCCGCTCAATTTCACCACCGTCGAACCCTGGTCGCCCTCGTTGCCACCCCTGATCTCCGTCACTTACCCTTGCAGGAGGTGGTGTTTGCTTCTTTGTTCAATTACTTCAATGGTTGAAGAGGAAGCAGCTGATTGCTCGCTAAAAATGGAGTGGGGTAACAATTCCGATCTCAGTGGGGATGAGGAGGAGGTGGGCTTCCTGCTTAACGATGCCGCCCCACTTCCTTTCCCTGCCCATAACTTACTTCAAACTGCTCCCTGTGGCTTCGTTGTCACTGACGCGCTCGAGCCCGACCAACCCATCATTTATGTCAACACCGTCTTCGAGATGGTCACTGGGTACCGCGCAGAGGAGGTTCTCGGTCGTAATTGGTTAGTTCTTCTTGCTTATTTTTATGTTTAAGTTTCACCTCCGTTTTGCTAAGATGTGAATTTTTGAGTTGCCGTTTTGCTAAAATGTGAATTTTTGAGTTGCTTTGTGGGTAAGAGATGATGGTTTTCCGGTGCATTTCTAGCTTCATTCATTAACTCCAGCCTTTTTTTTTTCCTGGTAATCTGAGAAACGAGATGTAATGTGTTCTGGTTTTAGGTATGTAGGATTGAATTTTGATTGATAAAACAGTAATTGGGTTTGTTTTTCTTCTTGTAGTTCTTTTCACTTGAGGGGGGCGAGGTGGTTATTTATGGAGGGAAAAAAGATAGTTCATGGTGGCTTGAGGATGTTTAAGAAAGCTGGCGTACTTTTAATTTTAGTTTATATCTCTTATTCACTAGAACAGAGTAAAACTAAAATGTGTTGAAGTCAAATGACCTTAGGCTTAAGACACGAAGTATATAAGGATTAACCAAGTACTGAAATTATAGAATAAAATCTTGGGATTTCGCACACTAGAAAGGATTAAGCATTATGGCAAATACAAAGCATGCACTATAGAAGGATTTTAGCAGGTTCTCAAATAGCTAAATAAAAACTTGGGTTTAGCTTTTTAATTATGGTTGAGTTTTATCGTGTTCAATGATATTTAGTGTGTGTAAAAATTTAATGATGAAGGTAGGGAAGCCGAGATTATTACTAATCACTCTTTTCATTTGAATTATTCCACGTTAAGATTGTGATCCACATGTTCCTTTCTTACGCCCCAACATTTTCATGTGTAGTTTTACCTGATTTTTAGTGTGAATTACATTTTTGTCTGTATATAAATCAGTTACTCTTTGGGGGGTAAGATAGATTACTTTTAGAAGCCTATTATGAGAGTTTATTTAGTAGTTGGATTGTGCATGGTTAGCAGATCAAGAGCAGTATTTTTGTTTATTGTCATAACTTATCTAGAACATGTTGTGGGTGGGTTGGGTTCCTTGTTTGTTAATTGTTACTGAGAATTATAGTTTTGGAGTGATTTGGAAGGAAATTATGGAACATGTTATGTTAATATACCATCTGGGCATATGGATATCCACATGATATAGGTACCCTTGTAGATTTGCTTGCATGCACATAAGTTCATTTACCTCATTATTTATTTATTTATTTATTTTTGTTTATGTATATAAGGCTCTAAACAGATATTGGAACATGTCAAAGACTGCCACAAAACTTGTGTACTCTATCACTTGAAAATAAGCCTAGATAAGCCAAGGACATTGTTTTGGGAATTGTTAAAAACCATGTTTTGCTACTCTCTGTAAACACTGATGAGTCATTGGTGCTATCATTACCATTGCAACTGATGCATTTTATGTCAATTATTGGCCACATACTAGAGTTCTCTTTCTCTTCAATGTTATTTAGATGTACTTTACATGCCCATTCATGTTGGGATGCTTCCAGAATTGTAGAATAGTATAGCTATCTTATCTACTTTGTGTTCTCTATTGTCAAAGCTTGCTTCAGCTATTGGACCACCCAGTTTACATGTACTCTTTTCTCTTTCATGTTACTTGACTGCTACTTACCAGAGATGATCTTGATGAATCTTGTTCATTGTGTCTACTCTGTATCCTGTGTACTTATGTACCTTCTCTTGGCCAGAATAAACTAAAGTAACATGTAAGTTGTAATTCTGCTATGTGAAAGAAAAACAATTTTATTGTTTATCATGGACTGTGTGCTAAATGTTGCTGCTTTGTTTCTTCTTACTGATATTTTTTGTGATTGTATTTTAGCCGTTTCTTACAATGTAGAGGACCATTTGCTAAAAGAAGGCACCCCTTGGTAGACTTGACAGTGGTTTCAGAAATAACGAGATGCCTTGAGGAGGGCATCAAATTCCAAGGCGAGTTGTTGAACTTCAGGAAGGATGGAACCCCCTTGACGAGCAGATTGCATCTGACTCCAATATACGGAGATGATGATACTATTACTCAGTTTATTGGGATTCAATTCTTCACAGAAGCAAATATTGATTTAGGTTTGGTGCCTGGATATTCAATAAAGGAGTCTACAAAGTCATCTGATAGTTCTAGTTCGGTTTTTTCTACTTTCTGGCCTGTTCCAGTTGGGGACCGAAATGTTTGTCGAGGGGTTTGTGGTATATTTCAATTAAGTGATGAGGTGCTTTCTCTAAAGATACTTTCACGACTAACACCAAGAGATATTGCCTCGGTTGGTTCTGTCTGTAGGCGACTTTATGAGCTGACAAAGAATGAGGATCTTTGGAGGATGGTTTGTCAAAATGCATGGGGTAGCGAGACAACTCGTGTTTTAGTGACTGTTCCTGGTGCAAAGAGATTCGGGTGGGGTCGATTGGCAAGGGAATTGACTACACCTGAGGTAGTAGCATGGAGGAAACTAACTGTTGGAGGTGCTGTTGAACCATCTCGGTACAACTTTAGTGCTTGTGCTGTTGGGAATCGTGTGGTTCTTTTTGGTGGGAAAGGGGTAAACAGGCAACCAATGAATGACACCTTTGTGTTGGATCTAAATGCCAGCAACCCACAGTGGCAACATGTCCAAGTGAGTTCACCTCCTCCTGATCGTTGGGGTCACACACTTTCTTGTGTGAATGGTTCTCATCTGGTGCCATTTGGAGGTTTTGGAACACGGGGTTTGCTTAATGATGTTTTTGTGCTGGATTTGGACGCAAAGTCTCCAACTTGGCGTGAAATATCAGCATTGGCCCCACCACTTCCCAGGTCATGGCATGGTTCCTGCACCTTTGATGGTACAAAGCTGATAGTTTCTGGTGGCTGTGCAGATTCTGGTGTGCTTCTTAGTGACACTTTTCTGCTTGATCTTTCAATGGACAAACCTGTCTGGAGAGAGATACAAGTAGCGTGGACCCCACCTTCTCGCTTGGGTCACACACTGTCAGTCTATGGTGATCGGAAAATACTGATGTTTGGAGGTCTTGCCAAGAGTGGTCCTGTCAGATTGCGTTCTAGTGATGTATTCACAGTAGACTTAAGTGAGGAAGAACCATGCTGGAGATGCGTAACTGGGAGTGGAATGCCTGGTGCTGGAAACCCAGGGGGCATGACTCCACTTCCTAGACTTGATCATGTTGCCATCAGCCTTCCTGGTGGAAGAATCCTTATTTTCGGTGGGTCTGTTGCTGGTCTTCGCTCTGCTTCCCAGCTATATCTCCTTGACCGAAGAGAAACCCACACGGAGGATACTGAATGTTCCTGGGAGACTGCCGAGATTGCTTGGGGGCATAGTACTTGTGTTGTTGGTGGGACGAGGGCTATTGTCCTTGGTGGTCAAACAGGCGATGAGTGGACGCTAACTGAGCTCCAAGAGCTATCATCGGCGAGTTCTGTTTTCTGATTCAAGAGGACGCGGGGAAGGGAGAGCAGTTCGTTTCTGGGCTTATTACAACCAAAATTTTTAAACCCGACTGGACGGTCGAACGGGTTGGACTGCTACTCCGACTGGATATAATAAAAAAAATTTGATTTAAGAGTGTTATATATAAATAATACTTACAGCTTGAGGTCTAATAGACGACTGTGTTGGCCTACTGGTGCTAGTCAGCTTTTGGCATTTAAGATGATGCAGGTTCCAATCGCTATGATGTTAAATTTATTCATCTTCATTTTAGTGCGGATAACA